ATGCTGCGCTTGTGTCCATTAATATGCATCAGAATATGCGTATTTTTATTTTAACCCTTGATGGCAGAGGGTTTGTCAGGAATAAAATATCCTTGACAAATAAAGGTTGAAATTGTGATTTACGATTTTTAGAAATATGAATTTAGATCAAGAAATCAAACACGAGAATTTGGTTGGGCTACGACCTGGGTGAGTATCACCCTATTATTAGGTTGGTATAATTCAGATTTCACACAAGTCCAAGACAGATGGTTGATTCTTGCAAGAGTCAATCAAACAACACACGCAAATGCCAGGAGTGGAATGTAACGAACATTATGAATTTTTGAAACAGGAAAGCAGTCCTTCAAGGACGGAATTTAGCAACAGGATTAGCAGAGAAAGGCAGCCTTGGAGGCTTCCGTAAGTTACGTGAGAACCGAGGTTTTCTGAGGTTCTCACAGAAAGTGGAATTTGTCCTCAAGGATGAGAATTCGGGTTCTCAATTTTGTTAGCTAAAAGTAGAACTAAAAAATTCGCAACAGGGTTCATTTTCAATGCATATCAGAGTCAGGATTTTTCTGGGGGCAGCACATTTCAGTTTGACCCAAGGTCACTGAAATGCGCCCAGGTTGAGAAGGCCTAAGTTTGAAACAATTTGGGAGGAGAATTTTCTATTGTTTTCAGGATTTTCTCATGCAAATCCTATGCCAGGAATGCAGGAAAAAAAAGCACCCAGTGAGGAATTTTTTTTTCATTTTTCATCTAAAATTTGATGCAGGATTAGAAAAACATCAAACCTTTTCCCAACTTAGGCCTTGGAACCGAAGTAGGTTTTGTTCAATTTCCAGTGCCCATTGTCACAAAATTTTGCAAAAATATCCCAACTTTGCTACACAAGTGTTAATGGTTCCTAGTACAGGTGAACCTTGATAACTTGAACCTCCCTAAGTAAAAATTCTTTTCAGGTCCCCATCTGAATCCCCTGAGAAAAAATACATTGAGAACCTCCATAAGTTGAAAGCTTTTCCACTCAAACCTCCATAAGTCAAATTTTCTGTGGCCTGTTGACCATTATTTTCTATACCAATGTAAGAAAAAAAGCAATAAAGACAGAAATTCATGCGTTTTAAAGGAAGTGAAAGATGCAATTGGGCAAATGAACCCCTGCCTCCAAGTTCAGCAGCCTTTCAACTCATTTAAGGAGCCATTTAAGCCCCGGAATATCACCATTCACATTTTTTCTAAGTTTCCCTGAAAGAAGTGCTTTGTATTGTAGTTCAAACCTATATAATTCAAAACCTCCCTAATTCAAAATTGTTTTGCAGGTCCCTTGAAATTTGACTTTGAGAGGTTTGAATACATATTCAGAGATTTCCACTTGCGGACAGAATGATGAGCTCTTTTAATAATTATGACACGAAGTCCCATTAATTTATTAATCTGCAGAAATGAACTCAAAAACTCCTCAAGTCAAGTTCTTTTCAATTGTCCCTTTTTCAAATTTGACAGAAAAAACAAATTTCAAAACCAAGCCAAAAATCTCAACTTTAGACTGGCAACAAAAAATACTGTTTAGTAAAATCTTCTTACAGCAAACTCATTCAAATTGGGAAAAGCTTTATTATAACATTTCTATAAGAAATGCAAATAAAAGGTCAAAATGCGAATGACGCAATTTCCCCATTATACAAATCAAACACTGTGTGTGAACTATAATTCAGTATTATTAAAATTTCGCAAAATGAAATTCATTCAAGATATCAAGAATGGATTGATTTTTATTTTAGCACCCACTGTATAAAGACAATAGTTCTTGCATGGGTAACCCATTTAATTGTTTAGTTGGGTGATTCACCTAATTTTGATTTAAATTGGCTGAGCCAATCTGGAAAATATGCTGTACAATACTATCATATTACAGTACAGTGTTTCAGAGTCCTTTTATTTCTGCCAAATTCCTAAAAAGACAATTTTGAATCATTAGTTTCTCCTCAAAGTACTAAATGTAACTTGAAATAAAATCGACAATTTCCTCAATACAATTAATTTGGCAAAGATTTTTGCACAGCTTCGTATCGCTTTTTTTGCGACAACTTTTATTTTCTTTATTCTGGAATGAAACCTTGACTTTATGATCAACAACGTTCAGGAAAAATGACCAGAAAAAAATAAACTTCGATTTGAAGAATATTTGAACTTTTTTTCTTGAGATAATTAAGTCCCAATGCTGCATTATTTTCTAGTAGATATATTTTTTCTGTAGTACATTATATGCAGCACAGCCAAAATGACCAAAAAATTCACTCTATAATAAATCAAGCCTCATTCCGGTCAATCAACAATAATTCGATCACTTTCCACATTCCCGCCGCATCAAAATAAAATTTCTACAAGCAGATTTCCAAGATTATTTCGGCCACAAAAAAATGCATGTTTTTTTGTTGTTTTGCTTTCGAAAAGCGTTTCGTCCATGGCTATCGTCTACACGTACTGTATTTTAGTAGAAAAACCGAGAAGAAAAATGGGACGGAATTAAGTCCTGGAGGAGAAAGAGCAAATGCCCCTGTTTTTCGCGTTTTGGCTCAACAGCGTGCAGAAAAGGACGGATCCGTGTGCAGCGTCAACACCCGACCCGACCTTTGGCTTTTCGCACGAAAAAACTCCACGCGCCGAGATTATCCAAATCAAATCGCATTCCGAAATCCCTGCTGCTGCTGCTGCTGTACTTTTTCTTTTCTTCCTCTTCTCAAACGATAACCAACGAAAAGGAGAGAGGGGGGGATTTGAATTTCCGCACATTTCAGACTGAGAATGTCATCTGTGATCAGAAAAAGTCGATTGCGAAATCAGCGAAGTGTAGTGTGCTGAATATAGGCCGCATATTTTTTTAGACCCACTAAAAAAAATATATAGTATATATATTGCAATATTTTCGGGATAAAAAAATTTCATACCAGCAAAGCGATTAATATGAAGAAAATATCTTGAAAATCTTTCCGCAACAGATCCTGTCATAGCACATTAATGATACCTACACGATAAATTTGTTTTTGAGGCATCTGTCCATTATTTGACACATAATTTTATTTGTAAATTTATTCGCAACAAATTATCAGTTATACTTACGTAACAAATTCGTTTTCGAGGCCTCTGTCCATTGATTGACAAAATGTTGAGGGAAAACTATTTTTGGTACAGTACAATAAAATCTTGTTACAACAACATATTTTCTCATAAAAATTAGTGATACCTATGCAACAAATTCGTTCTGGAGCCTCTTTCCATTGATAGACACGATTGTATTAACAATTTTAATCTTAGATTTTGTGGTTCATTGAAATCTTATTGTTACGACAAATTTTGTCATAATAATTAGTGATACCTATTCAAAAAAATTCGTTTTCGAGCCTCTGCAAATTCATAGAAAGAATTTTTTGCAATTTTATGTTTAGTAAGAGGAAAACATGGTAGGGGTAAAGTAAAATCTTGTAACAATAAACATATCTTGTAAAATCAAATTTTTTACTCCAATGCAAAAATTTCTTTTTAAGGCCTTTGCCAATTGATACAACATATTTTATTTTACATTTTATTCTAGTGCGAGGAAAATATTTTTACGGTAAGGTGAAATCATGTTAAAACTTATCCGGACAATTTAGTGATACCTCTTCAAAAAATTTCTTTTTGAGGTCTTCGTCCATCGATAGTAACGATTTTATTTGCAAATGCTATTATCTAGCCGATAGAATTTTATTGCCTTTGGGTGTGATAAGATTTCATAACAACAAAACAAAATTTTGAGAAAGACATCAGAATAATGGTGACAAAAATGACCTTTTACAGTTTAAAAGATGTCACTCACAATTACATACTGCAATAAGGTACTTCAATCATCAATGGCTTATGGCTTGGGAGCTAATTTCATAATGCGCGAAAGTTTCAGCATTTTTTGCCTCACAGAATTAATTTTGAATACTCACCATGATTTGAAATTTGTCCGATGCAAAAACTTCTTGAATGCTGAATTTTTCAGCGCAGCAGCACAGTGACATTTTCGATACCCAAGCAGTCGCAGCAAAACAATTGAACTCTACTCCCAAAATAAAACTTGTCGTCGAGTCTAAAGTTTTCTAAAACAGGAAAAAAATTTAAAAACCATGAATCAGTAAAGGAACAGGCCCATTATTTGCATCTTTCGCCAAAAGTTGACAAACCATTTTAATCAGATCAAAAGACTATATACAAACTAGAACGAAACGAAGTGATGAAAATCAGACAGAATCAACAATTCGGTGAATGATACACAAGTGGAAATCAAATAAGGAAATTAATGAGAAAATGGGGGGAAATAAATTACGGAAAAAATTAGATCACGTATATCAACCAACAAATTTATTCTCCCGTCATTCGTCGACAAGATTCAACAAAACAGGGGAGAAAGATCAACATCAGATCAATATCCATCCAACAGATGAAGTCTCCGTTTGACAACATCAACTTCAAATCACCCATACTCATGATTCATAAAAGCACAATAACAATCAGTGCGAAATATCACTTCAAACAATTCAACAACCAATAGAAACAAAAGCGAAACCAAAAAAATAAATATAAAATTTACCAGCAACAGTATTTTAATACGGTAAATTTTTATTCGTGCCTAACTTTTCAGAATACAGATGATTGAATCAAGTTTGGAGATTCCACATTTTCTACTGCATGAAATAAATTTCAAATCAACGGATTCATACCTCGATATATAGTTTAACTTTCAGGAAGAATTTCCAGTATCTAAATACTTGTCAACCCACTGAAAAATTAATTGCATGTAGAATCTTGTATTGGGACTGAGAAAAAAATTTTTTAGCATAAAATTTCCCAAACATGGAGACTCCTCCACAAAATGAATCTCAACTAAACTGCAGATGTCGCATCCTGAGAAGATTCCAAAATTCGTGATCAGGAAACAAATCACACACTTGCATGAAGAGGTAATATACTGTACTCGCATAGTTGCTTCAGTACCCTTCCATAATTTGGCGGATCCAGTCGCCAAATTTTGCCAAATCTGTGTAAACGGTCGGGGTTCTAGGACGAGCACATCCATCTCCATAGGAAACCACTCCAATTGCCACATGACGTCCATCACGACGAACCAATAAAGGACCACCACTGTCACCCTACCAAAAAAAAACACAAATAATTTGAATTAGCACGCAAAACAACTCCTCGGAACTTTAAAGAAACATACCATCATCAAACAAAAACAACAAAATCCAACTGCTGCGCATAAAAAAAGAAAGAAAAAAAAACGAATTACGGAATATCAACGAAGCAAACTATTTACATATTTAATTCCCTGGAACTTCTTTGGAACAAAATTTCACTTGCATAACAAATACAGATATATAATATGATGCGAGGCACGATAAGTATAAATTAAACGGAACAGATTTTTCGTAAATAAGTTCTTGAGGATTTCAAGTGTTTCCCCTCTTCATTCTTCACAAAATAAAAACAAAAACGCGATTTATAATACCGTAAGTCAGGCCATGAAATTAATTCATTCAAATCGCGAGTAATGTTCAAATCAAAATTCCTAATTTTCAAGACGAAGAAATAATTTTACGAGTCATTAACCCGTAAACAAAAAAGCAACTTTCATTCGAGAAAAGATAACGATCACCGCATTGACTCACCGAGCAAACGTCCCGGGCCTTGTGCTTGAACCCAGCACAGAATTGATGATCAGTCATTTCATACTCCGTCCATTCCATGCAAAAATCAGCCGGTATCACGTGCAACGTCACTTTGCGCAATTTACTCGGAGTTTTCTCTTCTGCAAAATGAATTTTTTTTCTCAAGTCGAAGGATTACTTCAGTTTTCCGAGGCTAATTTTCACAATGAGAGAAATACGCACACAAATCTCGAACCCCATGTCAAGGAGTGCTAAAAATGAGTCAGACCAGCTGAAAATGTGAATTTTTTGTTTTGTTTTACCCGTGATCTTTTCTACATTTTAGATAATGGTTTTTAAAAAATGAAAATTTTGGCAAGCCAGACACATTTTCAGCACCTTTTGACACGGGTAGAGAATCTTGTTGTTGATGGAAAGTTTTCACTTACTCGGCATGAAATAAATGAAACACTTTCTCAAAAATCCGAAGAAAATTCAGAACCTTGAACAACATCATGGGCTATGTCATGATTTTTTTTTTACAATCACATCAACTCCAAAAACAACAGAGGCCGCGTCCAACTGGAACAACCCACGCATTACAGATGGACTCCCTCTACAACAAATCTTGTCTACAACGATTTTCTCTGTAAAACGAATTTTTCTTCGGTCCCACGAAGTTCTCTCCCCATGTTATACGTGTTCTTTCGAATAAAATTATCTCAATAAAGAATTTTTTTCTGGTCCCTCACATTTCGTTGTAGAGAGAGTCCACCTGTATCACACAATATCGAAAAAATTCCAAGTTCCATTTCCGAAATGACTCACGCATTTCAGCAAGACGTCCCCAACCCGCAGCAACAGCTAGTTCGAAGTCGAAGGTGTCATTCGCATCAGGCAGACAAACAGGTACAGTGTAATTGTCCCAGGATATCCTTTCCGTCAACCGCAGCAACGCAATGTCATTCGAAAACCCGTCATCAAAATCAAATTCTTCCGGATAGTNGAACGAAACGAAGTGATGAAAATCAGACAGAATCAACAATTCGGTGAATGATACACAAGTGGAAATCAAATAAGGAAATTAATGAGAAAATGGGGGGAAATAAATTACGGAAAAAATTAGATCACGTATATCAACCAACAAATTTATTCTCCCGTCATTCGTCGACAAGATTCAACAAAACAGGGGAGAAAGATCAACATCAGATCAATATCCATCCAACAGATGAAGTCTCCGTTTGACAACATCAACTTCAAATCACCCATACTCATGATTCATAAAAGCACAATAACGATCAGTGCGAAATATCACTTAAAACAATTCAACAACCAATAGAAACAAAAGCAAAACCAAAAAAATAAAAATTCAATTTACCAGCAACAACTTTTTAATACGGTAAATTTTTACTCGTGCCTAATTTTTCAGAATACAGATTAATGAATTAAGTTTGGAGATTCCACATTTTCTACTGCATGAAATAAATTTCAAATCAACGGATTCATACCTCGATATATAGCTTAACTTTCAGGAAGAATTTCCAGTATCTAAATACTTGTCAACCCACTGAAAAATTAATTGCATGTAGAATCTTGTATTGGGACTGAGAAAAAAATTTTTTAGCATAAAATTTCCCAAACATGGAGACTCCTCCACAAAATGAATCTCAACTAAACTGCAGATGTCGCATCCTGAGAAGATTCCAAAATTCGTGATCAGGAAACAAATCACACACACTTGCATGAAGAGGTAATACTGTACTCTGTACATGCATAGTTGCTTCAGTACCCTTCCATAATTTGGCGGATCCAGTCGCCAAATTTTGCCAAATCTGTGTAAACGGTCGGGGTTCTAGGACGAGCACATCCATCTCCATAGGAAACCACTCCAATTGCCACATGACGTCCATCACGACGAACCAATAAAGGACCTCCACTGTCACCCTACAAAAAAAAAAAAAAAAAAATTAAATTCGCATGCAAAAACTGCTCGAAACTTGAAAAAATACAATCATCAAACAACAACAACGAAATCCAACTGCTGCGTTAAAAAATTTAAAATAATACCAATTACGGAATCTAAGAATCTAAATAAATCAATTTTTTCCCCTGGAAGTTCTTTGTAACAACATTTCACTTGCATAACAAATACAGAAATATAATATGATGCGAGGGACGAGAAGTATAAATTAAACGGAACAGATTTTTCGTAAATAAGTTCTTGAGGATTTCAAGTGTTTCCCCTCTTCCTTCTTCACAAAATAAAAACAGAAAAGCGATTTATAATACCGTAAGTCAGGCCATGAAATTAATCCATTCAAATCTCGAATAATGTTCAAATCAAAATTCCTAATTTTCAAGACGAAGAAATAATTTTACGAGTCATTAACCCGTAAAAAAAAGAAGCAACTTTCATTCGAGAAAAGATAACGGTCACCGCATTTACTCACCGAGCAAACGTCACGGGCCTTGTGCTTGAACCCAGCGCAGAATTGATGATCAGTCATTTCATACTCCGTCCATTCCATGCAAAAATCAGCTGGAATCACGTGCAACGTCACTTTGCGCAATTTACTCGGAGTTTTCTCTTCTGCAAAATGAATTTTGTTTTTCAAGCCGAAGGATTTCATCAGTTTTCCGAAGCTAATTTTCACAATGAGAGAAATACGCATGAAAATATTTCGAACCCCATGTCACAGAGTGCTAAAAATGCGTCAGACCAGCTGAAAATGCGAATTTTTTGTTTTGTTGTACCCGTGATGTTTTCTACATTTTAGATAATGGTTTAAAAAATGAAAATTTTGGCAAGCCAGACACATTTTAAGCACCTTTTGACACGGGTAGAGAATCTTGTTGTTAATGGAAAGTTTTCACTTACTCGGCATGAAATGAACAACAGATTTTCTCAAAAATCCAGAAAATTCCAGAACATTAGATAGAACATCATGGGCTATGTCATGATTTCTTTTTTACTATCACATCAACTACAAAAATAACAGAGGCCGCGTCCAACTGGGACAACCCTCGCATTACAGATGGACTCTCTTCACAACAATCTTGTCTGCAACGATTTTCTCCGTAAAACGAATTTTTCTTCGGTCCCACGAGGTTCTCTCCCCATGTTAAACGTGTTCTTTCGAATAAAATTATCTCAACAAAGAAATTTTTCTGGTCCCTCGCATTTCGTTGTAGAGAGAGTCCACCTGTATCACACAATATCGAAAAAATTCCCCAATTCCATTTCCGAAATGACTCACGCATTTCAGCAAGACGTCCCCAACCCGCAGCAACAGCTAGTTCAAAGTCAAAGGTGTCATTCGCATCAGGCAGACAAACAGGTACAGTGTAATTGTCCCAGGATATCCTTTCCGTCAACCGCAGCAACGCAATGTCATTCGAAAACCCGTCATCAAAATCAAATTCTTCCGGATAGTAGACCTTTTCTACTTTGACCTGATAACTCGGCGGGTCTTCGTCGTGGTCGAGGTCAAACTCACGGATCCTCACTCGCAGTTGTGAAGCATCACTACCCGTGTGTCTGAGATTTAAAAATAAATGAATAAATCGTGAACTAGAATCCTTTGGAAGACATCTTTACGACGGAATCCGAGGGACCAGAAACAAATTTGTTGTAGTGAAAATTTCGTTGCAGAGACCTTCAACATGGGACAACAACGAAATTCGCTATGCACAGAAAATCGTAATAGAAAAAATCGTCGTAGAGAGAAAGAGAGTTCATCAGTGTTTTATATCATGGTACTCTATTCACTTGTATGCGTTAAAAACTTCAATGAAATCCATACAAATTTTCTTTGCAGTATTGAGGATGATGATTTCAAAAATGCAACTAGAATTATTAGAGCAGAAAAGTACTAAAATATTTGAATAATGGTGCTTTTATTTATTTAAAAAAAGTTACCATAAATAACCAGAATTAATCCTCGTTGCACTGGAGGAAACCATAAGAGGAACTCATCATTATATTGGCATTTAAATAAATACAGATGGCCTCTCACAAAAAGAAAACTCAAGGGATCAGAAAAAAATTCGTAATGCAGAGAAAATCGTTGTAGAGAGAGTCCATCTGTATTTATTTAAATGCTAATATAATATCATATCACTGCAGAAAAACAGCTACTGTACTATGCACCTGTAGTAACTGTTCTGCAGTGACATCTATGCACATGCAGAAAAATTGCTATGTGCAATGCCATATATCGTATACCATATTTACTCAAGTACTGTACTGTACCACACAATATACCTTTCTCTTGATATATATTTTTATTCAAGTTTGAGGCTGAAAATTTTGGGTGCGGTCCTTGTGGGAGGTACAGTATTTGAGTAAAAATGATTATCAGTTCAACCCGGAAAGAATTTCCAAAACCGAATATCAATCAAGACAAAAATAATGATATATCCACTCACTCATTAACGCAATGAGCAGCTGTGAGTACCCAGAATTCATTGATCAGGGATCCACCACAAAAGTGTCGAGGCCTGAACACGGATGCTATGCCCACCAAAAACGGAAATTCCCCGGGAGTCGCTTCTATCCCACCCACAATGCGGTCTTGACGAATTGCTTGAATTCCGCACGTCCCATTTGAAGACACTGTCGAGAGATGATTAATATCGTTTCATTAATAAAGATTTTCGCGGAAAATTCAATACAATATACAGCAAATTTGACAAACAATAGATACGTTCGTCACTGCTTGTATTTATGAACCCAACATCCATAAACTGTACTATCATCCAAATTAAAATCCGATATAAAGCGGGAAATTCAAATTTAGATGTTATTTTCAGCACAAGTGAGACGAAAAATATCGGATAACCCGAATTAAGAATTCCAGCCAATAATATTTTTTCGATTATTCAATTAGCAAATCAGATCAAATTTATTCAGTTCGCCGCATCTCAGAACAAAAAAGAAACATGAACCTTTTTCCATTTCTAAAACATAATACTTCAATAATCATAGACTAATATCCCAAATACAGGTGGACACTTTCTACAACAAAATCCTGAAAACCGGAGAAAATTTCGACATGGTGAAAACCCCTCCGGTCATCGGACCAACACGGAACCCGAAAATTCGTCATAGAGAAAAAATCGTTGTGGCGAGTCCAACTGTAATAAGGGAAGATTGCCCGATTATGTCAATATATGAGCAAAATCCATTTAAAAATCAGCACTAAAAAAGAGAAAATCATCGGTGCTTCTAAAAAAAATTGGAACTTATTCGACAAAGACCATCACGATTTCGAATATATTCATTTAACAGCAATGAAAGTAAAGAAAAAATGCGGGTTCATTATACAGCAATGAAAAAGTCATATTAGAATCATTTCTTCGGCACGAACTCAAGTACATTATCTTACTCGACCAATAAAAGATACACATTGCAAACTCACGGTCTTGGAAGGCGTCCACTGTTTTCCCAAGAACCACAAACAACAAAATCTCGAACATGCTGAAATCCACCGCAACTCCAAACGTTCGCTTTCTGCAGTCTGACACCGAATGCAACTCATTCCTTTCCCAAAGTAACCGTAGTTCGCTGAAGGCACCCGCATTTCGAAGAAAGGCATCAGCATCACGTTCCACGGCAAACAAATGCGGGGTATTCTAGAGCAGTAAGCAGAGAAAGTTGGCGTAATTATTTACGTATAGAAAAAAAAACCGAAGCCTACTTACCTGAGTGGGAAATGAGAGAAGCAATAAAATATACGCACGCATCCGTTCAACATTTCTATACTTCTCACGTACATCACAGAGGATTACAATATTCGTAAATGGACGGAGATCAATCAATAAAATCTAGAAAGCTTTCATTTCGTGCACACACAAAAAACCAAGTGGACTAGATACGTTGCGAACATCACATCCAAAATTGTTTGTGCAGTTTTTTCCCCTCTTGTTCGTTGGCACCCCGGATAATAGACGCCTTCTCACATAAATGACTATGGATGTTTTTCGTGTGCTTCGGACAGTCGACTACATCCTGTTTCAGATAACTGATGGCAAAAAATTGCGTTGCTAATTTTTTTGTCTCTACGTATTTCTGCGATTGCATTCAAATTAGAAAATGCATCAAAGACATCTCCAAGGGCTGTAGCGCGAATAAGCCATTTCAAATGAGGGACAATTCGGGGATCCGGAACATAATTCGCCATTCTGTAAAGCTTTTTCATCAGCAGTGACTTTTCGGATGATGAACTTGACATAGAGAGGCATCGTCCATTAAACGAGGCACAACTGTGCAGCATCATCAGCATTTTTCCTCGAGTTTCCGCCAGCGGCAATTAAACTGGGAGGAGATCATCTCCAAGTACTTCATCAGCGAAGTCCTCATCGTCCTTTTTCTTATTCGATGTTTTCGGTCTTTCCGGAGCGGGTCCGATTGGATCGACGTAATCGGCATCTGAAATAGTATTTGCATTCATCAGTATCCACAACGGCTCAATGAAATTTCCACACTTGAGATGCTATATTCCATTTTTATAGAAAAAAAACCGTACTGTAATTGTGATCCCGCAAAATAAAAATAAAAAACGGGGTTTACGAAAGTTTCCGGAACGCCCAAAACAAAATTCAGCACTGACATTTTTTTCTTTTCGGATGGGTTTAAACTTTTATCTTTATTTTATCCCTTTCGAAGACAGGCTAGTGTTCAGTTCACGCACCACTTCTTGAGAGTACCATCTCGACAAGTACTAAATGTGCAAAACCTTTGCCATCTTTACGCTTGAACAAGCCTTCACAAACCTGCGTAAGCTTGGGATATGGAAATTTTCTGCTACTTAATTTTCAACCTAAAAAAACTCTCCTCCAATCTCTAAAAAATATTCTGTTCAACTAACAAGATGATCTACTGAGTCGTCGCTTACACTTGACAATGATGTTCTCGTAAAACAATCCCGCGCACCACTTGAAAAGCCATACCAAAAGACGGCTGATAAATCTGTCATTTTAAGATATTCAAAAATACCCATCACATGCTGTTTACGCTCTGCATGAACACTTTTAAGGAAAAAACCAGATCTTGGAATTGTGATCCACATCACACAAAAAAGTACAGTTGAACCTCCATAACTAGAACCTCCCCCAAGTCAGAAGTCTATGTCTGAATTTCCTAAAGATACAATGCATTAAAAACCTTTCTGAACGCCTTTTGGCGATTATTTTATCGAAACAGAGAAGAGAAAAGCAATAAAAATGTAACGATATTTTTAAAAAGGAAGCGAAAGACTAATTGGGCAAATTTGTTTCGAAGTTCAGCCTCCTGTCAACTCATTTAAAAAGCAATTTAAAGCCCAGAATATCACTAATTACAATTTCCTGTAATTCTTTATTTCTTTCCCCCGTCAAAAATGCTCTTTTCCCAAACTAGAATTTTCAGCAAGTCCCTTGAAGAGGTTCGATTACAAGTTACCGATTTCCCGATGAGACGAGGGATATCCTCTGTCGGCATTGTCCATATCAGCCAAAGATAGACGAGTCAATGGACGGGCACTCGGGACAGCTGATCCAAGCGAATGAGCGGAAGGTGTCCTCGGGGGAACATTCGTGCCTCTGGAACCCACCGCTGTGCTCGAATGGGCTCTACTCATGATCATGTCTGCACTTGCGGCTGAGCCGAGTCTTGACATTGAACGGCCACTTCCATAACGCGAACCTGGACACAATACATAAAAAGGATTTAGTCAATATTCAACAGACAACACTTGAACGTCAGTCCCGGGGAAAAAAAAAACTAGCGCTGAAATAATTTCCAGATTTTTTGGGTAGTCGTAAGCCGACGATCACTGACGGAGTAAAAAAAAAACCCGAACTTCGAAATTAACACAAAAGAATGATTGAAATCATTTATCTGATGTGGCCGGTTGAAGGGACGTTTCTCCATTTGTTCTGCTAATTAATCAAAGAAATGTTTTCTTCAAATACCGCAGCGATCATAACATGACTGTTAACGATTTAAGAGAAAAACGAATGAAAGTGAATTGAAATGAATTCAAAATTTTGATTTTCGAATGCACGGTTCAAAGCTCGGTCCAGCCTTTTCCTTTCCATATTGAACAGAACCTCTTTGTTCCGTAAATTAATCGTCTAAGATTCGTCCAGAAAAAGTTGGGAGGCCGAAAATTCTTATTCCCGGCGCCGAAAACGTGCGGTCCGGATGCAGCAAATTTTTAGCCGTCTTCGCTATATCCCTACCTTTCTTTGACGCCAATTCCATAATATCAATTAAGGTCCCTAAAATAGTCATGTCTCTGAGGTTCTAGATGCGCTTCAGATCTCATGTGAACGGAAACCCATGAGCCGAAAACTTCAGGAAAATTCGCTTCAATTATCATTTTCTGCCATATCTTTTGCTTCGTTTTGCACAATGATAATGCGGACGGGTTTCAGTATGAACAATAATTTTTACAAATAAAATAAAAGCATTGACATGCGCTTATCTCACCAGGTCGTGTTGTGCCACTATTAGCTCGTTGCTCTTTCAGCTCCTTCGCCTTCTCGGCCTTCTTCAGCTCAACAATATACTCCTGAGCTTCTTTCAGTCCCAAATCACTGCACAATCTCACCAGGAATTTCAAGCCTTGACAAAAAAAAAGGAATATAAATCACAGCATTCCACAAAAATAAAATGTCATATAAAGTAGTGTGACGTACATTCGATGTTTTCCGGGAACCTGAAGTGGATGTTTTTGTAAGTCATCAACGCTGTCTGATAGTTTCCAGCTCTTCGGTGACACGAAGCCACCATCAGCAGCCATTTTACGTCATCCGGCTGAATCAAAGCTGCTCGCTCGAAGTACTTTACAGCCTTTTCCGGTACTTGATGCTCTATGTAGTAGCTCCCGAGCCAGTCCAGAACTTGAATGTTTGATGGGTAATACCGGTACGACTGTTCATAAATACAAATTAAATCTCTTTACATCGTTTGTTAATCAGAATGAGTCCAAATTCAAGCGAATCAGACTATGCAAGATTCAAAGAAATATCGCCATTATTTGCACAAGTATAAGAGACCATCGATTCTATGACAGGCCTATAAGTACCGCATTTCGATCCTCGAACTAAAAAAAAAGGGAGTTCACTGAAAAATCTAAGCAAAAATTACGTCGCTCCAAAATGTGCTGAAAACTTTCACTTTAAACGGTAGAGAAAAATTACGTCAATTCTTACAGTACTGTAAAACATTTTCGGTAAAGAAAACAAACCAAAAACAACGCTTATACATGAGAAGCTTTAAATACACGTTCATTTATTCTTCCAGCCGCTGTCATTAATTTCGTGCGAAAAAGTTCACAGACCAAAAAATTAAAGATAGCTTCTTTGCTTCCTGCATCAAGTTTGGAATATTTAAATTCGTTGTCAATCACAGAAAGACGTTCAATACATTAATCAGATATTTATCCTTCGAATTGGTGCACACTTTTGGACCTGTACCGATTAATTAGTACCTGGATCTAAGCAGACATTAATTTCAAGTCTCTTCCACGTCAGAAACGAAAACGATCTTGACTTGAGTTCGATATTTTGCTCAACATTGAATTTGCTCATTCGCATTCGAAACAAAACTCACATCAAAATGGTACTGAAAAGCTTGTTGACGATCTGACTGCGCATCGCAAATTTCCCCGAGCTTCTGCAACAGATGTGGATCAGATGGAACCAAACTCAAGGTTTGCACATACCTAAAAAAAATAAAATTAAAAAATTCATCATTAGTATCATGAAGTAAACTTTCAGTTTTTCAAGAATAACTACTCACCATTCCAGAGCTTGATACAAGTCGCCGAGTTGCTCGTAAATCGAGGCAATTTGTATCAGCACTTGCGGATGGTTACGCAAAATCGCTTGCAGTTTATAGAACGCGTCCAAAGATTCTTCCAATCGTCCCAGTTTCTTGTTCGCCAAGCCTGAAATAAATAAAAATGTTCGCATTACAGAAAATCCGTACCAAAATACATGTAAGAAATTCAAAATGACCCCCGGAAACCTTTCACCGATTTCCATCTCCCGCGGCACCCAGTTAATTACTGGGAACATAATTAAAAGCGGCGAATCCCAGTCACCTAAATTGTAGATCGCTTCAACAGATGACGCATCGCAGTCAATGGCCTCCAAGTAATGTTCCCTGGCCTTTTCAATGTCTCCTTTAAGAAAACACACGTTCCCCAAATTGACCAGTGCTCCAGGATTGTAACTATCCACCTTGTGCCCATCCTCAGCATACTTTTCCGCTTGATCCAATTCGTTTTGCTGAAAATTTTTCGCTCAGAATATACCTTCCCCATCCATCAGGAAATTAAACTTTATTCCTGACGACTCACCAAGAAATACAAAAAGGATAAATTTGTCGCCGCAGTCGAAGCAACTTTAGTCTCCTTCTTTTCGAATGCCTTCAAAGTTTCAACCGCAGCCGGAAATTCGCGCTGTCGCAAGTACATGACAGCCTTGTTGATCTCCAAGTCATTGGCAAGATCCGCGTGTACTGAACTTTTAATTGCCTCCACGCACCAGTTGTAGCCATCGGTAAAGGTTTCTTCAATCACTGGCGAAATTAGCTTTGCTGCAGTTAGTATGGATCTCTCCGCTTCTTGACGCCTCGCTCTTTCGATTTTACGCAGCGTGTCGTTCTTCACGACTTCTACGATCAACTGTCCTTGTATGTCATCCTGTATGAAGAAATATGCGCATAAAATGAAGTAAAATGCAGTAAACAATTTCTCGAAATTATTTTGTCGAGAAAAATATACGCGCGAAAACACCGTTGCAACGAAATTATAAAAAATATTTGTATGCTAAAAATATTTGTTCATACTAATATGAATAACACGGTTTACATTTCAGACGATGCCGTCATTATTCGGATTTTTAAGATGGAACAAAGTTTAGAATGGAACAATCAATCAATATTCAGTTGGGAGCCCCTTCACCGCTATTTCAACGCAGAAAAAATATTTTCGAGTGTGTGAGACACTTGTCGATCAATTGTGCATAAACCGTATTAATACCTCAAAGCGTTTTCAGCATCGTTATTCTTGCGCAAGTAACCATTCAATTCTCAGCAAGCGTATTCGTGATCACTGAAACCTTGAATTAAAGCGATGATCTTGAAATTATGAAGGGCTCGGCGCGTTATTCACCTGAATAATTTCAAATATTGATTATTTTTTTATAATTTTCTGTACTTCCCAGCATTCCATTAAAGATACTGTTTTTCTCTGAGTTCGTTACTCAGATGAGTGATTCCCAGTTGATTGCTTTTCAGGAATTATTTTGCGCTTCAGAGATGAAGAAAATTTTTGTAGATTGCCATAAAATATAATTGATTGCTTCAAAATAAATTACTTGCTCATCTGTGGGGAAAAAATAACGAACGAGTGAATCACTAACACCCACTTGACTCTTTTTCTCATTACGGTTTCTTCGAACTTGACAAAAGCGAAGCCCCTGACTCAGAATGAATGATTTTTGCGACACCTCTTGAAGACTTCCATTCATTCGAACGAAGAATTCATCAAATTAATAAAAATATTTGCATAATAATTCTCCTTTGAATAAGGATTCGGAAACTTCATCAAAAAAATCCATTTGCATCTCCCAAAAAAAATCGAAGGAGACAAAGGAAATGAATATCTTACCGAAGATGCGGTGTATTTTTCTTCCTCGTCGTCGACTTCCAAAGGTATTTCAAGCAAACGTATCAATCCAGATTTCATCCTGTCCTTGTCGCTCAACGCAAAGTAACAGACGACCAAGTCCAGCCCGGTCTTGTAATCCGGTTTCTCCGACATGATGTACTCGAAAGAAGTACAAGCATCACTGTATTGGCCCATTTTTACGAACAGGATCCCGATGTTTCTCATGACATTCAGTCTTGAAAGAAAAAACACACCTCAATAGATTACGAATTCATATAAACATCAAATTGCATCAGTTTTAAAACGCACTCACAACAAATAATTCTCACAACTGTGAAAGAAGGTTCAACTGACATTTAAATAAATTAGTTTATACTATAACGTATAACCCAAAGATAAGAGCCAATGTCATTGGACTTCCTTATTCACTCTTCAACTCTGAAGTTACATACTGATGAACGTATTGACTCCAAAATTCACCCACATTTCAGAAAACTAAAAAATCGAGAAGAAAAGCTTGTCATACGTGAATGTTCAGTATTGTTATACAAGTATGTCAAAATAAAAATACAAGCTTTAATGTCAATTGAATATAATATGATAGATGTAAATATATATTTGCAATACACATATACTTCAAACAAACTTGAATAAAAAAGCAAAATATTTTAAATAAGACTTCCAAAAATATGAAATGAAGTTTCCCTGAGAATATATGCTTCTGTGGTCAAGAGGATTCTGATTCTTACTGTGTCAATGAGGTGCTTATATAAAATATGAGTGAGTATATTTTGGATAAATAATTTCTTGGGTTTGAGACATGATTCCAAAACTATACTTCAATAATACTTGTCTCTTGTGAGAGAATCTAGGGAAACAGGATTTCTGATATTACTATGAAACTTAACAAGGCAGCTTTAGAGGATGAAAAATTACCCATAATTTCCCAACACGGAATGAAATACTGTACTGGAAAATTACCCTTGCAATTTTTATTGGAAAGTTTTGGGTCTAAATGACTTAAGTCTCCTACTAGAATATTTGAGACAAACAATAAAGTGTTTCAGGAGCCAATGTGTCTCAATAAAGTTCAAGGATATTAAGGAAAACAGTATTGTACACATAATAAGGAATGCATTCATACAACAAACATACCTCATATGCTTGTGGGTGTTGGGAACCTGATCCAGGGCCATGCGATACAACTTCAACGCTTTGTTGTACTGCCCGAGTTTGTAGCAAATGTTTGCCATGTTCACTTTCAGCCTCCCGGCGTTCGGAAACATCCTATTAGACGTAATCATTCACAGAAAGACGTTCAATACATTAATCAGATATTTATCCTTCGAATTGGTGCACACTTTTGGACCTGTACCGATTAATTAGTACCTGGATCTAAGCAGACATTAATTTCAAGTCTCTTCCACGTCAAAAACGAAAACGATCTTGACTTGAATTTGATGTTCTGCTCAACATTGAATTTGCTCATTCGCATTCGAAACAAAACTCACATCAAAATGGTACTGAAAAGCTTGTTGACGATCTGACTGAGCATCGCAAATTTCCCCGAGCTTCTGCAACAGATGTGGATCAGATGGAACCAAACTCAAGGTTTGCACATACCTAAATAATAAAATTTAAAAATTCATCATTAGTATCATGATGTAAACTTTCAGTTTTTCAAGAATAACTACTCACCATTCCAGAGCTTGATACAAGTCGCCGAGTTGCTCGTAAATAGAGGCAATTTGTATCAGCACTTGCGGATGGTTACGCAAAATCGCTTGCAGTTTGTAGAACGCGTCCAAAGATTCTTCCAATCGTCCCAGTTTCTTGTTCGCCAAGCCTGAAAAAATAAATGTTCGCATTACACAAAATCCGTACTAAAATACATGTAAGAAATTCAAAATGACCCCCGGAAACCTTTCACCGATTTCCATCTCCCGCGGCACCCAGTTAATTACTGGGAAGATAATTAAAAGCGGCGAATCCCAGTCACCTAAATTGTAGATCGCTTCAACAGATGACGCATCGCAGTCAATGGCCTCCAAGTAATGTTCCCTGGCCTTTTCAATGTCTCCTTTAAGAAAACACACGT